CCAAAGAATAGCTTAGAAGGTGACATATGCTACTAGTGCTTTTCCTATCTAGTTTACAACCACCAAAGTCAAAATCACTATAACCTTCTAGGAAAATATTTGAGCCATTTGGGTACCATAGTCCTAGACTAATTGTTCCCTTTAGGTATTTTAAAATACGTTTTACATGAGTGAGATGTGATTCTTTTGGATTAGATTGAAATCTAGTGCAGAGACAAACACTATGCATTATGTCAAGACGATTGGCAGTTAGATATAGTAAGGAACCAATCATACCTCTATATAGTTTTTAGTCAACCGATTTACCTTTTTCATCCAGGTCAAGGTAGCCATTTGTTGCCATTGGTGTAGCAGCTTCTTTGCATTCACTCATCTTAAACTTTTTCAACAGATCAGTGCAGTATTTTGACTGGTGTGCGAAGATGTCATTCTTGTCTAGTTTGACTTGTAGACCAAGAAAGTAAGTCGTTCTCCCATCATAGACATCTCGAATTCATCCTGCGTAATCTTTGAAAAATCCTTGCATAGTAGAGAATTAGTATATCCAAAAATAATGAAAGGTTATGAGAAATTCCAAGTTCTTCACAAAAAGTTTCAAATGATTCATTTTGAAAATCCCCTCCATGATCGCTATGAATAGATTTAATTTCAAAATCTTTTTCATTTTGAACTTGTTTCGCAAACTTTTTGAAAATTTGAAAGTTTCACTTTTTCGAGTAATAAAGAATGTCCATGTATATCTTGAATAGTCATCAACAATAACTAAAGCGTAATAATTTTCCCAAAACTTTTTATCCTTGAAGGACCAAATAAACCCATGTGCAAGAGTTCTAAGGGTTTTTCACTTGAAACAATATTTTTCGAATTAAAATATGATTTAACTTGTTTACCCTTTTGACATGCAACACATAATTTTGTTAGAGCGGCGTAGCAGAATGGTTAACACATTCAACAAACCAAGAGGGGGTGAATTGGTTTCTTATCTCAAATTGTTCTTTTAATAATTCTCTCAAATAAATATAAACATTCCTTAAAATAATTTAAAAAAATTAAAGAGTAAGGAAGAGAGAAAATTGCGCAAGTAATTTTTATCCTGGTTTAGATCATAGAGATCCTATATCGAGTTGTTAATCTTAATTGAGAATTAAAACTTCAATAGCACAAACTAACAAACTGTTACAATCACAAAGAAAATAAACAAGTTGAAGGTTAAAACACCTCTCTTGTTACCCCAAGAGGTGAAAGTCACTTCCCCTATAACCCACAAGGGATGAACACCTCCTCTGAATCTTAACAAAGGATGAACACCTCCTTCGAATGCTTCACCAAGGATGATAGGCTTTTAACTCAACAACAACAACAACACTAAATCACACTCCTTGTGAAAGTTCTCGCTCTATGTCAACATGCCAAGTTCTTAAAGCCATAGCACAAGGGTTAAACAAACCCTAGAACACTTATCATCGCACACTGTAGATAAGATTTTCCGAAATACACTTATTTCATATTTTTGTATTTCGTATTTTAGAATGAGAGTTTCAATCTAATTTATAGAGATCTCACTCAAGGATACCTCCAAAAATCCGTTGTCAACTAATTAACGTGTGATAATAAATTATCCAGTTATGATAATTGATTATGCATTTAATGAATGCACAATAGTAAAAAACTTGCTTAAAAATTTTCATAATTGCTCGTGATAATCTTGAGTATAAAATGAGGTTTTCTGATTCAAAACAAATTTTAACCCAACCTAAGAAAAACAATACATAAAATCAAGATAAACCACATCCTATACATAAATCTACTAAATTACAAAAGTTTTAATATAAAAACAAGTCTTCATGAAGATCTTCTTGCAATAAGAGCACTTGAAACTTGACTTTGAGATATCATCAACATTTCCGCTCTTCAGTTTTATGCTAAAAGGTTTGTCTTTTATAAAGTTGAGTTTTGGTAGACCAATTACTAAGTCTTTAGATGCACGTCTATTCAATTGTTGCATATGAATATGAGCAACTCTCTTGTGCCACAACCATGAATTTTCTTCTTTTACCACTAAACATGAATTATTTTTATTTGAAACATTTTCCAAATCAATTAAATAAATATTTGCATGTCTAATACCTTTAAAAGCAACTTCAGAGGAATCTTTTTCATGGATAGTGCAATAATTGGGTTCGAATGGTACCTTGAAACCTTTGTCACATAATTGACTAATACTGAGAAGATTGTGCTTCAAACCTTCTACAAACAATGCATCTTTAATCATCCAAGTATTTTCACTTTTTATGTCTCCTACTTCGAGGATCTTTCCTTTGTCATTGTCACCATATGTGACATATCCTTGTTCCTTCTTTCAAAAGTGTGTAAATTTCTTTATATCTCCTATCATGTGTCTTGAACAACCACTATCAAGGTACCCCATGGACTTCTTGGATTTAGAACTTATATGCAAAATAGAAAGAGAACACGCTATTTTGGCTACCTAACAACTAGGTCCTTTGGGTTAGTTAGACAAATATTTATATTATTTTATAACCCAAGTAAATTCTCCACAAGGAACACCATAATGTTTTATTTTGCATTTATTCGATGTATGACCCTTTTTCATGCAATAGAAACATGTAGCAACATTTGGTTTTCTATTATTATTAGTTCCATGTTTTACCCAAATTTTATAGATTCTATTATTTTTAACTTTATAATTATAGTCATAATAGTAATTTTAATTATACTTAAGAACATATTTCATTTTATTTTTATAATTATAATTATTTTTAGGAACATTTCTAATTTTATTCATATAATTATAATCATAGTAATTATAATTATTTTTAGGAATATGTTTAACAACCTTTTTAATTTTTGAATTATTACTACATTCAACGTTGGTATATTTAAACTAGAAACACATCCTTCAATTTTGGTATATTTACCTTTTTCTTAATACAAAATTTTATTTTTGAAATCCTTATTTTCTTCAAGAATTTTTTCATGAGCTAATTTTAGTTCTTTAAATTTCTTCTTTAATTTTTTATAAGCAATATCTAGTTTCTCTTATTCAAATAATAATTATTTATACATGTCAAATAATTCACTTTCACTATAATCTGAATTTTCAGAATCGCTAGAGATATTTACTTGACCATCAAACATATGTTGGCTTGCTCAGCAGAGTCGCTTGAGCTTGTTGTAAAGTCATTATCTTCCTCCTAAGTAATATAGTCTTCTTTTTCTTGAAGAACTTCTTTTGGACTGTTTCTTCTCATGAGAACTTTCTTTTGTCCTTCTTGTTGAATATTACCTTCTTTTGGGGTTTTTTCAGATATGGACATTTTGACTTAAAATGTCCTAGTTTCTTGTACTTGTAGCAAATTATTGGTCCTTTTATTTTTTTTTCCTTTGGATCACTCTCGAGAATGATATGATACTTCTCCCTCTAAAGGAGATGTTTCTCTTTTTTTTTTCCACATAGAGTGGATTCTCCTTGTGATGAATGATAGTTCATCTTCCTCTTCTTCGTTAGAGTCTTATTCCTCGTTAGACTCTTATGTGAGTTCTTCACTCTTGAATGCTTTTGTTGGTGTCCTTTTGTAGGCTTTTGAGCATTTAGAGTTATGTTATTTTCTTTCTTTAGCATACCATCTTGTTGAAGCTCCAACTGGTGCACTTTAAGGATTCCAACAAGTTCCTCTAAACTCATCCCATCAAGATTTTTTTTAAGTTCTTAAAACTATAACTTGTGGTCTTCGTGGGAAGGCTGCAAATAATTTTATCAGTATTATTTAATCCAGTATTTTAGTACAATTTAATATGTATGTTAATGGTATAATTTAATCCAATATTTTAGTATAATTTAATGTGTTAATATTATAATATTTTAATATTTTAAAATATAATTTATTAAACTAAAATGAGTAAAACACGTTTAAAAAAAATTAAAAAAAAAAAAACTGGCTGGTATATAGATGGGATAATTATAGGAAAGAAAAAAAAATTACCTTAGAAGGATAGTTTAAACATATAAAAAAAAGTTTAAAAGTGCAGGGGCAAAGCTTGGAGGTGGGGGAGAAGCCCCTTGTTAGAACCTCTCCTCAACTTTCCCTCCCCAAGTGTAAAGGGTTGACATGATACCAAAGCTCCCTCCAAATACTGATAAATTTCCACGAAAGAAAACTGTTGAAGGGTAAATAAATTTTCTGGTTTTTAAAAATATTACATGTTCTCGCATAAGTTCCAGAAAATAAGGAAACTTGAAATTGATTCTTGAAATTTTGAATCCTTTTATGCAAAATTGTAAACTCAGATTATTTTGCTTTCTCTCNTAGATGGGATAATTATAGGAAAGAAAAAAAAATTACCTTAGAAGGATAGTTTAAACATATAAAAAAAAGTTTAAAAGTGCAGGGGCAAAGCTTGGAGGTGGGGGAGAAGCCCCTAGTTAGAACCTCTCCACAACTTTCCCTCCCCAAGTGTAAAGGGTTGACATGATACCAAAGCTCCCTCCAAATACTGATAAATTTCCACGAAAGAAAACTGTTGAAGGGTAAATAAATTTTCTGGTTTTTAAAAATATTACATGTTCTCGCATAAGTTCCAGAAAATAAGGAAAATTGAAATTGATTCTTGAAATTTTGAATCCTTTTATGCAAAATTGTAAACTCAGATTATTTTGCTTTCTCTCTATATATGTCGATATTATTGTTGCTTGACTCGAATTTTGCAGGTAGTAATTGGATTATGCGATTGACAGTTGTACTCTTAAGGATCCTTTTTCTTTTATAGCTTTAGAAACTAATGTAAAAAATGTTATGCACTAAAAGTTCAGAAAGACTTTTTATTTACAAATTATGAGAATATAAGTGTATGACTGTGTATGACTAGGCTGATAAAAGAAATATAGATTTGTTTTAAAGTTATTACAAGATGTAATGTTTACTATATTATCAACATCAAATATGGTAGAAGCATGCTAAATTATGAATACTCAAAACATATATCACCATTGCAATAATTTCTCACTCAATTTATAGAACACAAAAGAATATATCGCATATCCAACTTTTAAGACAAGCAGTTTATCTTGCTTTCCAAAGAAGCCTCTAGGATTCAAGTAGTTGATAGACAAATTAACAGATAGGGTTTGATGAGAAACGTCTTGTAGGTTCTATTCTAGAAGTTGGAGAACATAAACATGGAAATACTAAGATGCCAACACAAAGGAACAATGAATAAAGCCCCTGACGAGAACTTAAACCAAATAATATTTTCCATTAGTTGTGAACTTGTGATGATATACTGATAAGATAGGTAGAGAGTATGATCAGGTGGCTCTTCAACATATGAAACATAAAACCCTTCCGCTGGAACTTACTTTGAATCTGATGACCACATACCGTGTCGCTTGAAGAATTCTCTAAATCCATAAGCGCTTAAATCGTAGTTGAACTGCAAGTACATAAAATTAAATTGAAATTGGATAAAATATTACATCTCACAGATGCAAGTGAGTGTATGTCAGGCATGGTACAAAATTTTGATAACTTAGTGACTTACTGGTAGATTACTAGACTTACTACCTATGTATAACTCACTATAAACATACGTTTGAGAAGAGTTAAAAATTCAAAATAATAATAATAATCAGTGATAGGTATCAGTTAGCCTGAAAAAGGATTCTCAAGGTGCAATCCAGACTTAATTTAAACAAAAACAACTTACAGGCAAGACTTTAACACTGTACTTAGTAATATTCGGATCAGCCACCCTTCCCTGTTTATCTGCCTGTATAGAGGAACACATGTCTCAAATTACAAAAGGATTTACATGGGGTGGTAGTCAATGAACAGATTAAACGATTAATAGAAACCATACTGCAGAATACGTGCTTTCTGATCAACCATTCCATTAAAAGAAAATCTTATATGACTTTTCCCGAAGGAAGTTTATGCAATGAATTGATGAGACAGTGATGAACAGGTAAGGAACACCATACCTGTGTTGGACTGTGAAATATTTCAATGAATGGATACTCCTTCTTTTGCCGAGTTATACAAAACCCAGGATATTTCGGACATTCAACCTGCAAAGCTCCAGAACAAAACCATTTCACCAATGCACAATAACATGATACAGAGTGCACAGAAAATACATAGCCCAAACCCAAGAAAATAATAATAATCACGCAATAAAATAAAAAGAAAGGAAAACTGTCGCGATGAACTGTGCTGTGTGAGTATATGTGTTTGTGTTTTTGTAATTCTGTGAGACAGGAGCTATGCTGCATCAGAGAGATGCTATTGATATGGTTGCCAACAGTTGCACGAGCACATTAATTATGAAAAATAACTTACACGCATAAATTTTACATGAGGATAAAACTCAACAGCAGCTTCTTCCAATACTTTGTCAAGATGTCGAGTGTAATTCCCCCTGCATTATCAAATAAGTAGTAGTTATTAGTTATTATTAAATCTCTTCACTTTTCCTTTCCATTAAAACCAAAGTCAAGTTCAAATAGGGGAAACCGAGTAAGAATTCAGCAGCTGACTCCAGATTACCTGATAGTAAATGCAACAACCACAGGAAAACCTTCATGAAGAAGTGTGACAAACTCACGCTCAGATGTAAAATGAATAACCTTGGATGGTCCAAGATCCTTTGGATAACCAGTATAGTACCTTTAGTTATCACAAAAATTCCAAAAAATATTATCATCTTATAGTAGAAAGAGAATCAGATTAGGGAAAACTATCCCATGAAAAAGGCATTACGAAAGTGCGCCATAACAACACAACTATTTATGGAGTTTATGGAAACTACCGTACCATAGTCAATCCCTACCGAACTTCATTAGTAATATATGAAGATTTGAAATTAGCTTCCAAACACTTTTTGACATGATTGGAAAAAGAATTAAATATATTCTTTTGGTATCTCAATATATATACCAATCCAGGACTACAAGTACTTGATGAAGATAAAATATAGAGAGGAAAAGAAGTTTTCAATAGGCCAACAGAAATTATTAAATGACTCAGTCATAGCACAATGAGTGCTCTTTTGGCAGAACATAAAGATGACACCATAAAGAAATTAAAACAGAGTCATCCACTCTCAAAAAACCCGAATAGACCTATATAATTCTCCTACCCGAAATTTTTTTTCTAGTCAAATATGCACAACATATAAAGCAGCTTAATAGCATGAGTGTGCAAAGCCTCCCCCATGTTCCCGAAGATGATAATATTATATTCTTAAGATAATAAAACATTATTTCAAGATATGTTGAGAGAACAAAAGTGTATTATTCTTGAAACATTTACGAATCAAATTACTATAATCACGCTCACTATAAATATGCTTAACAAAAATCTGTCATATACAGCAAGTTAAGAAAAGCAATTAAGGATCACATGAACGAATTCATACTTGCAAGTTGAACGGAGATGACTGATCATCCGATCAAAAAACGATGGATCGTCCATTACACGGTGAATGCAACGGGGCTAAACTATCCAGTTCCTGCAAATAAATACATGTTACAGACAGACTAAAAAAATCGTGAAAATGCACTATCAACCTCACTAAAACTTTTCTTGTTTAATTTCTACTATCCCCACAACTCCTTATTTACAAAGATTCAGTTGAAGCATTTTATCGAACACCTAAAGAGCATTCCACGTAGTGTGTGAAACTCAGATTTAAGAAAGCGTAAGGAAAGAAAACAAAGTGAAATACAGAAACATGAGTTAAATGAATAATTTTCGAGTTAATTTGAAATTAAAATTCTTATACCCACTTGGCGTCACTTTTCCACCACCCAAAACAGGGAATTGGACTATAGAATTCCTGATGAAAATATGGTGCTTTTAGTTTTTGTATATTTTTGTTTTATGTTTTTATTACAACCTGCAACAGAACTATGTCAAATTTGGGTCGGATTGGGCCTAATAATATTCAACCCAACCTATCTTCCTAGGCTTTCTCTTTCTACATCCCCAGAAATTTTAACTGCAACCCCATTATTTTTATATGATACGTTACCCTTCGTAAAGGTAACTTCCATATTATGGGCAATCCTCCAAAACAAGTTTATTGGAATTTCTAGAACATGATTTC